ACCAAGGTATTGCAGTGGTCCTCTTGGTGGCCATGACGTGATTATGGAGTTGTGACCTTTGTGTAAGGTTCACGTATTTCTTGGGTGGCATGTGTTATCGTGTGTGTGACCGGTACCCTCGTGTACTATGAAATCAGTGGTTCTGTTGGAGATCTGTTGGAGAGGGGACGACGGTCCTCGGAGGGAAAAGGTTGGACTTAGTGTACAGGGGTCCTGGAGGTAAAGGTTGGAACTAGATATAAGGTTGGGGTAGCCATAAGGTTGGAACCAGGCATAAGGAAGGCATATCAACTCGTGATGGGTGATGTCACGAGGGCTTGTGTAGCCGTTGTTGTGAGTTCTCTTCTTGTGACGTGTGTAGTCACAAAGGCATGTGTTGCCGTTGGTCTTGTCTTTATCTTTTTGAGTTGTTGTTGTCCTTGTGGTCTTGGGATGTGTTCCCGTGTTCTTGTTGAGAGTGTTAAGTCTTGTGTTGAAGATTACTCTTGGTTTTGCACTTATATATATATATATATATATATATATATATATATATATATATATATATATATATTCTGTTTCGAAAATGTCTTTACAAATGTATATCTTATCTATGTATGTTATTTCACATGTATTGGTGGGTTACCAGCATTATTCGCTGACTGGGCGTCGTCCCATGTTTATTGTGTTCTTTCAGGTGATGTCTAGACGAGTGCGCGGTCTAGTGCTTGCTAGTGTAGCCTCTCCCTTACGTTTTGTGGCCTGTGAGCCAGCTTAGATGTAGAACAATGAGATATTTGGTTTAGATTTAAACATTGCAGATGTTGCCTGTGTGTTCATCCCTTTGGTGAACGTGGCATAGCACCCCGTATTCTAGTTTATTTATATCTATCTATCTTTCAGTCTTCCGCTGTGTTGGTTGTTTGGTTTAGTTATCTGCATGTTTAAGGTTTTAAAATGGCACGTTTTTAGGGGGTGTTACATGGTACGTCCCTATGTTGCAAAAGTATGATCTATATGATGTCTTTGACAAATTTCGGGCTATGGTTGAACGTTCATTCAATCGCAAAATTAAATCCATACAGTATGATCTAGGAGCTGAGTATAAAAAGTTGCACTCTACCTTATCTCAGTTAGGCATTCTCAATAGACAGTCATGTGTGTATACTCATGAACAGAATGGTCGTGTTGAAAGAAAGCGTAGACAAATTGTTGAAACAGGTCTAGCTCTCTTAAGTCATGTTTCCATTCCTTCTAAATTTTGGGATTATGATTTTGAGACTGCGGTTTATTTAATTAATAAAATGACATCCACCGTAACAGATAAATCCAGTCCTCATCTTCTATTGCATAAATCCTCTCCGTCCTATTCTTTTCTACGTGTCTTTAGTTGTCTATACTTTCCTCCTTTGCATCGCTACAATTGTCATAAGATGTCTTACAGGTCTTCCCCATGTGTCGTCCTAGGCTATCCTGAGTCATTTAAGGGGTATAGGTGCATGGATCTTCAAACTAACATGGTATATATATGCAGGGACGTTAGGTTTGATGAGAGCGTTTGTCCTTTTGGTAAGACAATTTTGCAGGCACCACCAGTTCAACCATCCCAACCATGGGCTGAATCTGTACTTATTCCGACTTCATCCTCCGTTTCGGTTCGACCCATGTCGCCTGAACTGCTCCCGGCTAGCAACGAGCCTAGCCAGCCAGAACCGGTCCAGGATGAGCCCTCGGCGCACAACGAACCCGTCGCTACTCAGCGTCGTCGTGGCCGGCCGAGAGGGCGTTCGTCATGGCCCATGGTTCAGACCCACTCCATGGCCACCCGAAGTGTAACACCCCAGATTTTCAAGATATTTAAAACTTATAAATTAAGGGTGCAATCTCATTAAATCCCAACAGAGTACGAGTGTACGGGGTGTTATGCCACACCTGAGCTAGAGAACTCAGGTGCACAGGCTAACTAACTAATGTCTCAAAGATATGAATGCATAAACGTGGCACGCAGGCCGAAAGGGAAACTAACTACTTCTATGATCCAAGCTCTAGCGCACTCCAGTGACTTAACCTTCTGTGCCTGAAAGCCAAATATATCTGTTCAGCGAGAGATGCTGGTAACCCACTCCAACGTGCTGAAATACATTACATATAGAGATATATATAGATATACGAAAACCATTTTGAATATGAAGATATATCCTACGAACTCTAGCTTTTAAAACCGGGAATGACTCGACAGATAAGGCTAGACACAAGCAACAGTTATAACAAGCGTATACAATCTAAAGCAAGCAAGACAGATAAAGCTGAGCACAATTAATAATCATAACCCAACATAAACAATCCCCAGCATAAATCCCATAGTCACATCCCCCAAAATACTCATAACCACAACTCATCCATATCTCATCACATAGCACACTTTGTTGGCGCCACAGGACCAATCGCATGCCCATACATGAGGGTCAGCGCATATAGCTCTGACACGGCCCCGCAGCACCCTGCCCCGTCTCACATTACGGAGGAGCCGATCGCAACCGACTGATGGACCTTTGTCCTACATAATATTTATATACCTGACCGGTCTTTACCAGCCTGGTTAACAGTTGGGATGGTTCTCAGCCCATTCAACTGCCCGTATAGTGGACCTTTGTCCTATATAATATATACCTAACCGGTCTCTACCAGCCTGGTTAAGAGCCGGTATGGTTCTCAGCCCATCCGACTACCCGTATAGTGGAACTTAGTCCTATATAATATTTATATACCTGACCGGTCTCTGCCAGCCTGGTTAACAGCCGGTATGGTTCTCAACCCACCCGACTGCCCGTATAGCCCGATTGATCTTAACCAACTCGAGGTTACATGCACACATAACACATAGCAAGTACATGCAACCCACATTAACACATTGGGAAGGGGGAGAAAACGTATAACAAAACCTATGCGTGATCCATCACATACTAAGAATAGTCCTAAGGGGTTCATACTTCTTCCGCCTAGGTCAACGGGATACCAATTCAACTAGCATGCAATATAATAGACTCATAAACCTACGAACGGTACCCGAAATATCAAACTAGATATAGGCACGATAAACGGAGTCTGTTGGGACACCACGGGGAACGGGGGAACATCAAACGGGGAAGCCGGGAACCCAAAGTGGGGGAAATTCCAGCGGGTAGCCGGTGGGTGGGGGGCCACCCGCCGGTAACACTGTTCCGGGCAGTGGGTCGCCGGCGGGTAGCTGCCCGCCCGCCGGCTGCCCGCTGCCGGAGATACAATTTCCGGCCGTGGGTAGGTGGCGGGTCCCCTACCCCCCACTGACTCTTATCACACAATTTCGCCCCGGGAACCATTGTGGAACCCGAAACCATGCTTAGACACTTTACAACGCAATTAACGACAACACGTAGACAATTAACGGATCAAATACGAGAAACGAACGGCACATAACCTATCATGCTTTTCTAAACATAATCAACACCCAAACATGCGATTTCCCCACCCGATGATCCAAGAATAATATCATACGATACAACCTAGGGTTCTAATCACTTTTATATCAACAAGGATACGATTCGTCTTCTAATTGCAAGATTCGGTAAGAGTAACACGTAAGCATCAAGAGCATCACACAATTATCAAGAACAACGTATAATCATCAAGAACTCCATATAATCATCAAGAACACCATAATTATCAAGAATCTCCCAACATCAAGATTATCAAGATCCCTCATGGGATCATCACATCAAACATTAATAACCATCATCATATCTCGCCAATCACAATAATATGGGGGAAACCCTAAGGGGGAATCATAGCTATGAAAATAGGTTTTGTTGAGACATGGGTTACCTCTTAGCCTTTATTTAATTCCTTGGCTATGAAGGGTCTTTCTTTAAGCTTTCTTGCTTTCTTGATTTCTTCTAGGGGATTCTTGGAGCTCTTTGGGGTGGTGGGCGTTTATTGTGGTGGGGGGTTTCTAGGTGCCTCTTAAGTCCCCTATTTATATATTTAGGAGTCCTAGTTAGGAACTAGTATTATGGGCTTGCTAATTCTATTTCTTTTGGGACTAGGGATTGGGTTTAGGGATAAGGGCCCGCGGACTATGGTGGGCCTCCTAATTAATTATTGTGATTTAATTCTTTCTTTTGGGTAATTGATTAAATGATTTAATTGATCTTAGGGGTCGTAACACGGGGTGTTACACGAAGTCACGGTGATGGTCCTCTTTTGGCTCTATCAGCCTAGGTTTGTCTCACTGAACCTACTTGTTATACACAGGCTGTCAAACATGATGAATGGCGCAAGGCAATGGATGATGAGTTTAACGCACTTCTTCATAATGAAACCTGGTATCATGTCCCATCTCAGTCTGATATGAATATTATTGGGTGTAAATGGATTTTTCGCACCAAAAGGAAAGATGATGGGTCAATGGAATGCTACAAAGCAATGTTAGTAGCAAAAGGATTCAACCAGGTTCCTGGGCAGGATTTTTTTGACACCTTTAGCCCAGTGGTCAAACCAACTACTATCAGGTTACTTCTATCTTTGGCTATATCCTCTGGTTGGGTTATCAAGCAGCTTAATGTGCATAATGCTTTCTTGAATGGGACTTTATCTGAGACTGTTTATATGAAGCAACCATCGGGATATATTGATAAACAATTTCCTAATCATGTTTGTCTATTGAAACGTTTTCTATATGGATTAAAACAGGCCCCGAAAGCTTGGTTTAATCGCTTACATACCTTTTTTATGGCAACAGGTTTAAAAGCTTCAAAAACAGATGTATCTTTGTTTTACTACTCACATGGTTCAGGTTTTATTTATGTTCTTGTTTATGTTGATGATATTCTTGTAATGGGGAATAATGATCAAAATCTTATCAGTTCTCTTCTAAATGCTCTATCATCTACATTCAAGATAGGGATCTTGGTAAACCTGGTTTCTTCCTAGGAATTAAAACCATTAAGTGTAAGGATGGAATTTTGCTCTCTCAACAAAGATACATGACATATATCTTAAAACGAGCTGGCATGACAGACTGTAAACCTTTAGCCACTCCTATATCTGTTTCAAAACCCACTACTGTCTCCAATGCTGCTTTATATGATGATGCCACACAGTATAGAAGTCTGGTCGGTGCTTTACAATATCATACAGTTACCCACCCAGATTTGTCCTTTGTAATGAATCAGATGTGTCAGCGCATGCATGCGCATACAGTCTCACATTGGGAGCAGTTGAAACGCGTTCTAAGGTATGTAAAGGGAACTATCACTTCTGGTTTGCGGATTCGGCAATCAGTATCCAGAGAATTACATGCTTTCTCAGATTCTGATTGGACTAGTTGTCCTGAAGATCATAAATCAACTAGTGAGGTATGCTGTTTTTCGGCAAATTATATCATGCACCATGGTGCATGATCAATTATGCACCACGCGTCAGACACTATAGTGTGTCTAAACCGACACTGTCAAAACGAAGTCGTTTTATTTAATGAAAAGAAACAAAATCTTCGCAAAAAATAACTATTTTCTTCAGTTTCATTTTGTATACACTGCAGTTTCAGTTCAACACAACTACAGTTTCATTTCGATATAACTACAGTTTCATTCAAATTTATACACTCAAATATGTGAAAGTGTTATTTAATTTTATTTTATATACACTATAATTTCATTAAAACCCAACTACATGATCATTTCAATATAATTATAGCTTCATTTTACAATATACACTCAAATATGTGAAATGTTATTCAATTTCATTTTATATATACTGTAGTTTCATTTCACCACAACTACAATATCATTTTGATATAACTGTAGTTTCATTTGATAATATAAAAATAATACGTGAGACCATGTTGGTTTAGACACACTGTAGTGTCTGACGCGCGGTGCATGATCAGGTGCATGATATAACAACCACTGTTTTTCTTGGTTCTAATCTTATATCGTGGGTATGCAAGAAACAACGAACTGTTGCTAGATCATCTACTAAAGCTGAATATAAAGCTTTACCAGTTGTCTGTGCTGAGGTCATTTAGACTCTCTCGCTCATACGAGAAATCGACGTAACCGACGTGCCCACTCCCAAGCTTTGGTGTGATAATCTTGGAGCTACCTATATGTGTGCAAATCCTATTTTTCATGCTAGAACCAAGCATATAGAAATTGATTATCATTTCATTAGAGACAGAGTTGCGAATGAAGATATACAAGTTAATTTTATTTCAACCAAGGATCAATTGACATATATCTTTACAAAGGGCATACCTAGTCCTCGGTTTTTGTTTCTTAGGGACAAACTACAAGTCACCCGTGTAGCTTGTGCTTGAGGGGAAGTATTAAGACTCTATGCAATGTTGCAAAATACGTTAGGCGCCCCCTAGGCGCTGATTTTTCGGCGCCTGATTAATTATTATTATTTTTAATTTTTAAATTTGTTTTAATTTTTTTAATTATTTTTTTTTAAAACTAAAAATTGTAAAAATTCACTAATAAAACATAAGGTTCCCATAGTTTTTTCTTACAAACTATTAATTTAAGTGGCTATAAAATTGTTCAAAATATTGTTGAAACCATCTAAATACATAAAAAACTAAAATTAAGAGCAAAAGAAGCATTTTTTTTTTTGAGAAATTGGTGGGGCAAACACCTATGGCTGTTTGTTTCACATAGATCTCGAAAAAATATGCAATTTCAATTTTTTTTTTGTCTAAAACAGATAATCGACTCAAAAGTTATGCATTGCCAAAGTTTCTACACTTTTCAACAACCCTAAAAAAAAATAAAAAATTGGGCGGTTCAGCCGGCTAGGCGGCTGCGGAAGAGGCCGATTCCAGCCTTCCTCGCCGCGGCCGGGTGGCGCCTAGCGCCTAGGCGCGATTTTTGCAAATTACTCTATGTATTTAAGTTTCATTATGATTCTCTATCCCTATCTCACTGAGACTCCTTCTTATATATATACCTGTAATCCATACATTGTAATATTGAAGGAATCAGTGAATTAGGCTAGGGTTTGATAGTGTATTCATGGAGCATTAACATAGAGGAAAGAAGGATTATTGTTCTCATTATTGTTATCCAAAAGAGAGCCTAGCCAGTACAAGCAGTATATATAAAAAGCAATGGAACAGTGAATGGAAGAGGCAGTTATAACGGCCAACGGCCAGATGGAAGAAACAGCTGGAACTGGAAAGTACAAGAATGCCCTTGGCATTATTTTCTATCCTTCATCACCCCCCCCCGTAAGCTGGATCATGAATATCTTGAATGCCCAGCTTAAGTTGAAATGTGTTGAAAGCAGTAGTTGGCAAAGACTTGGTAAAACCATCAGCAACTTGTTTTTGAGAAGGAATAGGCAACAACTTGATCAATCCTTCATTCACTTTGTGCTTGACAATGTGACAATCTATTTCTATATGCTTTGTTCTCTCATGAAATACATGATTTTCTCCAATAGCAATAGCTGAATGATTGTCACAGAATATAACTGTTGGAACACTAAGGTTCACCTGCAAATCATTTAGCAAATAGTGAAGCCATTGAACCTCACAGACAGTGGATGCCAATGCCCTATATTCAGCCTCTGATGAAGACTTTGAGACTGTTGCCTGCTTCTTTGTTTTCCATGAAATCAAATTGTTTCCAAGAAAAATGCAATAGCCAGTTACTGACTTCCTAGAATCTGGACAATTAGCCCAATCAGAGTCTGAGAAACCTTGCAATTTTAGCTGAGAACCTGAGTGGTAGAATAGGCCTTTTCCTGGTGATGCCTTGAGGTACCTTAGCACCCTAGAGCAGCAGTGAGGTGAGTGGTTGATGGCTTGTCAACATACTGGCTTAGTTGTTGGACATCATGTGATATATCTGGCCTGGTGTTAGTTAGGTATAGAAGCTTACCAACTAATCTCCTATAAATCTCTGGATTATCAAGAGGAGTGCCCCCTGTACTAGATAATTTCAGCCCTGTAGTGGCTGGGCTTTTTGCAGGCTTGGAGTTCAGGAAGCCATTTTCTTTCAGAATGTCTAGAGTATACTTCATTTTGGAACAAATGGACTCCATTATCACTTCTAAAGGCCTCAATTCCCAAAAAATAACTGGGAGAACCAAGGTCTTTTATCTTGAAGGCACTGTCCAGAAACTGTTTTAGAGCATTAATCTGTGTTGGATCAGTTCTAGTAACTAAAATATCATCCACATAGATGAGCAAGGCAGTAAAAGAACTCCCTGAGCTTCTTGTGAACAAGGAAGGATCAGCTGCTGATTGCTGATAGCCATTGTCCATAAGTGCCTTTGTCAATTTTGAGTTCCACTGTCTGCTTGCTTGTTTCAGACCATACAAGGATCTCAACAACTTGCATACCTGCTTTGGTTTATCACTGTGGAATCCAGGAGGTAACACCATGTACACTTCCTCCTTTAAATCACCATGTAAAAAGGCATTGTTAATGTCCAATTGTTGAATTTCCCAACCTTTAGCAATTGCCACAGCTAGAAAGGTCCTTATTGTTGTCATCCTTGCAACAGGAGAAAATGTCTCAGTGTAGTCTACTCCCATTTGTTGTGTGTATCCATTGGCCACAAGTCTAACCTTATATCTTTCTATTGACCCATCAGCCTTGTGTTTTACAGTTTTACTTTAAACACCCACTTACATCCAATTGATGTTTTTACCTTAGGACGTTCTGTCAGTTTCCAGGTGTTGTTGGCTACCAGAGCTTCTATCTCATTCAACATTGCCTTCCTCCATGACTCAGATTTGGCAGCTTCATTGTAAGACTGTGGTTCATGTGTGTTCAGAATGGATGATGCACACAACTGATGGCTGAGGGGTAAAGAGTCATAAGATATGACATTATGTAGAGAATGTGGGGAAGTCTTATGGTTTGTATCACTTTGGATTATGGACTGGCAGTAGTAATCTTGTAGCTTTGCAGGAATATTTCTTACCCTACCAGACCTTCTGAGTTCATGCTGGTTGGGATGGACTGTTATAGGCTCTTCATTATCAGCAGGCATCAAATCAACAGTTATTGAAGGTTGGACTGCAGGAATGTTATTTGTACTTATGGAATTTGCTTCACTCCTAAGTTCAGGGCTTGGTTCATCATTATCATAGATGGCAGGCTGTTCATTCTCCATAGATTGTGGAATATGATTATGATTGTGGCCTGTCCTATGTACCTCTGGAACTACATTTGCATCAATAGGAACCACAGGTAAAGGAGGATGGAGCTCTTCTCTGTGAAGGTTTTCTGAGTTGCTTTGCTTAAAAGGACATACTTCCTCATAGAAGATGACATCCCTGGACACAAAGGTACACTTGTTAGCCAAATCATACAACACATAGCCTTTCACATGTGCAGGAAACCCCAAGAAAATACATTTCTTTGCCCTTGGAATCATTTTATGTCTTCCTTAAGAGATGGTGGCAGCAAAGCATAAGCAACCAAACATCCTTAAGTGATTATAATCCACAACTTTCTTGTACAGAAGCTCATATGGTGACTTCCCATTGTTTACTTGTGTAGGAAGCCTGTTGATGAGGTAGGAAGCATGTAAGACACAATGGCTCCAAAGTTCTAGAGTAATTCCAGACTGAAATTTGAGTGCCCTTGCAACATTTAATATGTGCTGATGTTTTCTTTCTGCAATACCATTTTATTGAGGTGTGTATACACAAGACTTTTGATGCACAATTCCTTTTTCATTAAAAAAGGAGGTCATGAAGAATTCAGTCCCATTATCAGACCTTACTGACTTGATCTTTGCTGAAAACTGAGTATCAATAACATACTGATAAAAGTTTTGAAACAACCCTTTAACCTCAGACTTGCTTTTCATCAAATGTATCCAAGTAAACCTGCTATAATCATCAACTATGGTGAGAAAATAGTGTTCTCTTTTAAGAGAAGAAACAGCAAAGGGTCCCCAAACATCCAAATGCATTAGATCAAAACTTTTCTCAGCTCTTGTAGTACTGATAGGGAAAATTGACCTTTTCTGTTTAGCAAAATGGCAAATGTCACATACAAAATTGACAGGTTTATGAAAATGAACTTGTCTTATTCCACATAGATTGTGAATCTTATCTATAAGGTAATGCCCCAATCTATTATGCCACAATTGTAAAGATAAGCTATTACAGTGTTTGTAAGCATCAACATTATCAGCACATTGTCTTCTTTTGGCAGGAGGATGACTAAGTAAGTAGAGCCCATCTTTTGCCTTAGCAAAACCATCCATTATCCCATGTAGTCCCTGAATAGCACATAGATCAGCATTCATGACAAGGGTACAACCATTTTGTTTTGTCAACTTGCTAGCAGAAACTATGTTAAAGGCAAAATATGGTATACAAAGAACATTTTTCAACAACAAATTAGGAGACAGTCTGATTTCCCCTATACGTGTCACCTGCACAGATTCTCCATTAGGCAACTTAACAAATATGCCATGAATTTTATGATAGTTTTCAATATAATCCAAAGAGCAAGTGATGTGATCAGTTGCCCCTGAGTCTAAGATCCACATATTTGAACAACTCAAAACAGCATTTATATGAAAGTTAGGATTAGACCTGCCTTTTGTTGCATCATCTGTTGGAATGAACTCTGGCATCATGCCAGTCTTACTCATGGTGATGGCAACATTGGTGGAAGCTTGACCACCTTGGTTTCCTTGATTCTGGCCTTGCAGAAGAGAGACTAACTTCTGGAACTGATCAGCTGATAGCCCCACATTAGCAACCTGATTGACAGAGGAATAAATGCTATGTTGACTGTCTTGATTTTGCTTATACTTAGACTTATAACCAGGTATCCATCCAGGGGGGTATCCATGTTTTTTGAAACATTTGTCTAGTGTGGCCATTCATTCCACAATATGTGCATTTTGGTACATTTTTCCCTCCATATCCATTAAAGTTCTTCTTATTGTTTGAGCTAGTTACTGCCACAATGTTTTGATCATCTCCACCTTGGTTTTGGACAGCATTGGACTGCACAACTTCAGAGTTTTTATAGCTACTGGCACTGTTAA